CTTACCCAAGAATCCTATTGAACATTATTTTCAGATGTGAAAACAGAGGCTCAGAGAGGCTCACTACTTGTCTATGGTCACAGTGACTGAGCTGGGATTATGACTGAGCTGGGATTGTGACTCCAGAGATGAAACTCACACACAGGAAAAGATGAGATCTCTGACCGTCCTCTTCCTAGCAGTTAAACACCCATCTTATGGATCTCTTTACAGTTAGCAGACTAGCTCTAAGCTGTGAAAAGGACTAACACGATGTCTAGCCTGCTTCATGCTTGTTCTAGTAGATGGTGATCCCTGATCATCCACACCAGGGTGTTTGGGTAGAATCCTGCATTTCTGTCTGAGCACAGCGTTAGCAGGCTGCGTCCACGAGCAGAGTCTTCTGAGAGTTTTCATGAAGACACAGAACCTTGAATTGTATTTTACAAGAGAAGTAGGGTCTCTTGATTATTGACTCTCTTCTAGATTCAGTAGTTGAGCATTTGGGTAAACGCAGAGCAAGTCAACTTACAGATGAACAGTGTTTTGACTTTTTGATATCATAAGATGATGCAGTTATAGAAATATCCCAGACTGTTAAAGCAGATATAATTACCTACATGGTGTAAAAACCGACCTTAAGCATTCACTTTGAATTTTGACCATTTTTCTCTTAAAGAAAACTAGAAAACATTTCCATCAATTCAAGTTGTCTTAGAATTCCCTGACCATTACCACCTTCGACCATTTGGTCTTACTTGCATGTTTTAGAAGTAATGAAGGTTCCATAAAAATAAATATCTACGTTCAGGTGCTCTGGGATGGGTTTCTGGTCCTCTAACCTGGTGCCTCTTCCATTTACTGCTGTTTCCTTAGGAAGCGATCCCAACACAAAAGCCATGGCTGACCACCACTAAGGAATTCATTATTGGAATTTCCATTACTGTCTTGGTGCTGCTGATTCTTGTGAGTGCTGTGGCTGTGGCAAGTAAGTGACTTCAGGATTGTTCCCAATGTTAGGGTGAGGTCTGGGATTGCCGTGGCTGTGGCAAGTAAGTGACTTCAGGATTGTTCCCAACGTTAGGGATGGGTCTGGGTTCTCCTGGATAAAAGACCACACAATCCAAAGTATTTTCAGAAAGCAAAAAGTTTTACTTCTTCAGAAGGGTACAAATCCTCTAAATGCAGCAAAGACTCACACCAAGCAGAAGTTCTGCTGGGTTTTAACACTAATCAGGGGTTCTGTCCCTCACTGTGAGTGGTCAGAACCAGGCCTCACATTCTTACATGACTGGCTAATTCAAAATGGTCCAGTTGCTAGGGAGAATGGAGTTTGAGTATATATTTTGACTTCAGGAAAATGCTGACTCTGGAGGGATTCTTGCCAAATGGCATCTTTGCACATTTCTTTAAAGATAGACTGCCTTCTGTCTTATTGAACTCTTTGAGAGAAAAGACAGTACATTTCCTGCACATTTCCAACACCAAGTAACTAGAGCAAAGGTTTTCAGCCTTTAAGTAACTTCACATGGCATGGATTTTTGGTTTGATGTGACTTCTGTGTCCCCAAATCCAAGACACATATGGTAACAATACCCTTTACTTCCCAGGAGGATGTGTTAGGACCTACTAAGCACCAACAATGATTTCTGGCACTTGGTAAGTGCACAGTAATCTCAAACTTTTGTTATGATATATCAAAAAGATCCCTTATCTGTAAAACTCATGGAGCTTAAATATTGGTGTTTTTAGTTAATACCATTCTTTGCTTTTATGTTTTCTGAGACAGGGTCTCATGAACTTACTGCGTAGTTGAGGCTGATTTTGAACACTTAAAGAGAAAAATTTTAATTAAATTTTCATTAAAGAAATGAAATATGAGGACAGATAGATGGCTCATTGGCTAAGAGTCCTTATTGCTCTTGAAGAGGACCTGAGCTTGATTCCCACACCCATTTAGAGCAGTACATTACCACCTGTAACCCAATCATGTGTAACACCAGCTCCAGAAGCTCTATGTCTCTGGTCTCTGTGGTCACCTTCACTCATATACACAGAACACACACACACACACACACACACACACACATACACAAACAATGAAAAATTAAGTAAGCTTTAAAAACTAAATTTAAATATGATGAAACAGGAGTTTGCAGGTTATGGTTGAGATTTGGAGGACAGCAAACTGTTTTAATACTTAGGATATGTTCTCTCCTACCTTGGGGATCTGATTTATATCCCTATGGTGATCATATTGAAAGTTCTGGAACACATATTTAGTAGAAGAGGTAAAAGAGACATTGGGAGAGGAGTGGCATGTCTAATTCTGGAGTAGAGTCTTTCAGAGGCAGCCGCCCAGGCCTGCATGTCCCTCTCCTGCAGGGTGTGTGTGAGCACATGCACATAGTGTTTCTCTCTGTATAGTCTATTCCCTGTGGAAGAACCTCGGGAATCTTATTTGCAAGACACTGTATATGAGCTCAACACTGGCCTGTTTCATATGACTGGGCAGAAAATGGGGAAATAAACACGTATTTATTAAGCACATACACAATTAAAAACATTAGGTGGAGGGAGAAGGATTAGGAGTTCAGAGTCAGCCTCAGCTGCATAGTAAGTTCAGACCTAGCTTGGGTACATGGGACCCAGTCTCAAAAATCTAAAAATAAACAAACCAGTATTAAGCAAAACACCACTATTTAAGCTCAATGAATTGTACAGAACAGGGATCTTTTTGACATACAGTAGAGGTGGTTTAAGATTGCTGTGCACTTACCAACAACATAAGGGCATATAAATTTCAGAATGTTTTCCCCTAATTATTTTGAATGCAGTTACTATTTAAGCTGGGTGTGGTGATATGTGTCTATAATCCCAGAACTCAGACTACCAAAGCAGGAAGATGTCTAGTTTGTGGCTAGTCTGGGATACATACATAGATAATATCTAAAAGAGGAAACTACTTAGAAATCGGGCAAAATACCACAAATATGTTTCCTTCTTCAGCCAAAGTTGTTTCTTCCCCGCTCATCGAGGACAGTTTCAGGAGTATAAAAGATCTTTGACAGAAAGGAGTTGGGTGGCAAATTGGTGGTACACAGCTACACAATTAAACAAAGGAAGGAGTGAAACCCAATATAACTTGCTATTTATTGAGTTCTTTGAAAAATAGGTTTTAAGCCAGGCGTGGTGCTGCATGCCTTTAATCCCAGCACTTGGGAGGCAGAAGCAGGCTGACCTCTGTGAGTTCAAAGCCAGCCTGGTCTATATAGCGAGTTCAGGCCAGCTGGGGCTACAGGGAGACGCTGTCTCAAAAAAAAAAAAAAAGGGTTTTCAGTGGATGTGACCTTAGGGAGCCCTTGTTTAGTTTTGTTCTCCAGTGGTGCATTTGAAAACAGTTTTTCATTCCTTTCGCTGAAAAATAATTTAGCAAGGCCGTTCTAGCATGCTAGGCCACGTGAGTGAATGTGGGTGAACACACCAAACTGTGAATAAAAAGAAGATACTGAGCTCTGTAGACACAAACATGGGTATGAGAAGAAATTGCCCAAAAGTCTCAGGGAAGTTCCGTTAAAAACAGAAACAATAAGCAGATTGGAAGGAAATATCATGAATGTTTTGACTGACACACTAAAATTTCTTTTTAATTCTTCCCCCATCCCACTCTAATTCAGAGTACA